AGGCTCAGTTAGCAAACAGTCAAAAGTAATCTTATTTTCACCTCCTGCTCTGTCCTAGTCCAAACAGTTATAGAAATAATAGTTCTTCATCTTCTCATCCCCACTTACTAGCACCACTGAGAAATTCAGACTACATACTGTACTGCCCACTGCTGGTTTGGTAAATGGGAGTTGGCACCGTAACAGTGGCGATGGCAGGTGCTGCTGTTTCCTCTTCAGACTTTTCTTCTTCGATCCTTGGCACTCCTGGGGCGTCTGAGGACAAGTCATTCAAAATTTTTCTGGCAAAGACAGTGTGTTGCAGAGATTTCAATAAAAATTGGAAAAAAACAGAAGTCTATTTGATACATATTGCTGGAGAAAACTGAAAAGTGCAGTTAGCCAACAAGGAAACTATGGGTGCAGAATGAAAAACGCGCCTATATTCAAACTCTTACTGGAGAGGATCACTCACAGGGCCATGCACAGATGGGCAAGGCAGCCAGCACCCAACAGCTGTGCTTACCAACACAACATACAGGCGTTTCTCAACAGGTTCTTCTCGACCCAAGATACAGCTACCACAACCTTCCCTTTTTCTTAAAAACATGTTTCTCTCTCTCATCCATTTCTATCTGTTTCCTGCTTTTAGCTGCACAAACATTTGAAAAAAGCGAAGTACGTAAAAACCTGTCTCCTAACTTAGATTAAGGGAACTGCTCCATTTCAGAGACTGTACAGACCCCAGCCAGAGAGCCGAGTATAAAGGACGTTAGCAGAAGTGCTTGTAAAGAGCAGCCAGTTTGTAACCTAACGTCTGCCTGGGAGAGAATACTGCGTGTTTGGGTGAAGTCACAGTTACATTTACAGGTGCCCTGCCTGAGAATGCTGCGACATTAGCAGGGGTAAAGGAAAAGAACAGTTTGTTTAATTACTTCCATGGGTTAATTATCCAAATCCAAAACATCCCTGCTACAGTCCCACTGAACATGACTGTAAGACTAACCACAGCAGTTACTGCAATCTGCATTGTCTAGACCAAACACTGTCTCTCAGAGGACTGTCATGCCCTTTTCACTGCTGGCATATTCTATTACGTCACTGCAAAAGGCTACTTAGGTAATGGGCAACTTTTTTTCTAATTCTCCTCAAACATTTGCCTGTGGACTGTCACTAGAATTTTAAGTGTGATGAAGCAAACACAGCTGACGCCATGCTCCAAGACAATACTCATTTCTTAAATAAGGCTCCTAAGGCTTTGGGAGGCCATACATCTGCATGGAGCTATCCAGGGAGAGCAGTCACCCTGCTAAGTAAGTTGACAGAGCTTTGCTGTTGCTGTTTTGAGACACTGTGCATGTAAGAACCCTGCATTACATAAGCACTCCCCTGTGCCAAGCACCACTTGGACAAAAAAAAACCCCATCCAGAGGGTTTGCAATCTGGGTGTTAGACCAGAAAAACTCATGGTCAGAACAGAAGAAAAATATGGAGAGAACAGGGAGAATGAGGAACAAAACCCAAGAAGCTCAAAATAGAAAAGAAAGCTCACCACTTTCTAAGCTCAAGTTAGATATGATTTGGTGGTGGTTAAAACCTACCTCTGCCCTCATAAAAAGAGCTTTAAGATAGAAGGTAAGGTGGCAGCTTTACAAATACAGGAGCCATGAACTGACACGGGGAACACATGACATACTGCAGTGGCAGGATCAAAGTGGAGTTTCTAAGGAAGAGGTATAGCTTTCATTTCTGTGAATATATCTGCACCTATCTTGTCTCTGTGGCCAGTTGCAGCAGCTTGAATAACGCCAACCCAGAACTCAGTGAACACAGCAGCAGCCTGACCCAGCCTTTGTGACATGACCCTATGCCTGCCCAGAGTCCGAGCCGCGTATGAAAGTTTTACAATTACAAAGTTTTGCTGAGTCACCAGGATCTGGTTTGAGGACAGAGGCTGTGGTGTGGCATCAGTGCGTGTAAAGGAGGCCACCCCAGTGAGAAGTCAGCATGCACAAGTACCCTCTTCTTAGTTTTGCTGCTTGTTACTTAGCTCTGTTGTCTCACCATACACAGCCATTCTGCCATACATAGTAAAAGCAAGTGTCTCGCTGCAGAAGCGGACTGCAAGGAAGTCTGTGGCAGCCTTGAAGTTAGTAGCACTGTTCCTCACAAACAAAAGTTATCTTCCCAGATCTATTATGGCTAGGGATCTTCAGCAATGATTTTCATGTTCTCAACACAACAGCCATGAAGGCTGCTGGAGAAGGTAGAAAATAATCTGCATGTGCTAAAAAAACCCAAAAGGTTGAGATATGTTCAGGCCTAGAGTCTAGCTTGGATTTCTAAGGCTGTGCTCATAAAGAAAAAAGGAGCATCT